GTGTGTGTGTGTGTGTGTGTGTGTGTGTGTGTGTGTGTGTGTGTGTGTGTGTTGTGTAGCATGCAGAGGTTGTGCTCGGTTGTCGTCGTCTCATTGCAGACTCGGGCCACGCGCTCGCGCGCAAAGATCAGGCAACCCCCTTGCAGCTGCCGCGAGTAGTCCCTGTGCCCACCAGCCCCTTTTGCTCTCATCGCCATTGTGAGACCGCCCCCTCAACAGCAGCAACCCCACCAAAGCCTCCTTGTGGCCTCTGTCGCCTAAGGTACATCAAACACCTTACACTGTCTTAATCTCTCTCTCTCTCTCTCTCTCTCTCTCTCTCTCTCTCCTTCTCTCACGCACACATACACGCACACGCTCACACACACACACACACACACACACACACTCACACACACACACACGCACTCTTCCACACACACCCTCACACACACAGTCATCCCCTGAACCCCCCTCCCCCCACCTGCTCCTTTATCTCCTTCTTGAGGGACCTCTTGTCGCGCCCCAGCGTCCCCTCGCGCCGCCGGAAGTCGTCCTGCTGCAGCTTCAGCGCCAGCTCCCCGTCCGCTTTCAAGGCGGCGATGTTGTTCTGGTGCTCAAACAGCAGGTGTTTGACCTTTTGCTTGTAGACCTGGGGGGAGCGCATGCGAGGGAAGGGGCGCAGGGCAGAGATGGCGTAATGTCGGATGCCCCGGTGGTTTCACTGGATCAGCATTCCTGGGGGATCTCCAACAGAAGGGGGGCGCGTCGTGAGGGCTCTCCCGCAACCACAGGGGCGAGGGGCCGCGGCTTACGCGTGCGTTGGGAAGAGCGGCGGCGGCCCAAGAAAGGGCGGCGCCGCCGCGCGTCGCCGCCGCGCGCCCGGCGGGCCGGCCCGCGCCGCGGCTGCGCTGCATGCCTCTCGGCCAGACGGCCCCCCCGCACCAAGCACCCTTTCCAACATATCTGGTCGCGCGTTTGCCCTACAGGCCTCCGCGTCCCGCGCGCCCGCGCCGGCCTACCCCCCCAAAAAGCGTGTCGTCGGCGCACCTTGACCTCGACCTGGTGGCGCTCCTCCATCTCCTCCAGTTCCCGGTCTTTGTTGCGCAGGTCGGCGCGGCGCTCCTCCAGGTCCTTCTTCGTGATCTCCCAGAACGCATTGATCTTGTCCTGTCAAAGGCGGCGCGATCAGCACACACGCACGCGCGCGCACGTGAGGACGGACTACGGTTTGCCCGCCGGTCGGATCGCCCTTCCATGTGCCCTCGCGCATCGCCTCCCCCCCTTGCCACGCATAACACTGTTCCCAGGAGCCATCCGCCACCGCCGCCGCCGCAGCCACAGCTGCCGCCGCCACCGCCGCCCCCGCCGGCCCCGCCGCCGCCGCCGCCGCCGCCGTTTGGCCCGCCTCTCCTGCCCGTTTCTCACCCTCTCCAGCTGCATGTAGTTCCTGTACTCCTCCTCCTTGTTCTTCTCGCGCTCCAGCGTGACAACCTTCTGGTTGAGCTCGTCGATCGACGCGCCCTCCACGTCGGCGGCGCCCGGCGCCGCCGCGCCATCCTTCCCGGCGGAGCCCTTCTTCTCCTTCTTCTCCTGCGGTGGGAGGGGGAGAGGATCGGATCGCGCATGTTGGGGCCAAGGGCCTGGTGTGCGGGGGGCGGCGCAGCAGCAGCAGCGGAACATGCTGTGTGCACGGCTAGCGGCATGGCGTAGCATGCAGCGGAACTTGCTGCTGCCGCACAGGTCAAACAAATGTATCATCTACGCAATATAAACGACACACCTTGCCCTTTGCGGGCTTCTTTTTGGGGGCCATGGCGATATCCGACGATCAGTTACTCCTCCACGCCGCTTTGGCAGTGTTCGTCTCGCGTGCTCGACTATCTGGCAACCTATGCTATGCCCCCGCACTGATGCGAAGCCGTCGGCGGTCAAGCGTAAATCGAAGACTTCGCCGAAAGGCCACACATGAATCGCAATAGAAGTACCGTATGATACGTACAATGTCGTTTACAGGAAGAAACCATCGGACGTGCAGAACGGTGGCGCCCTCTTGATCGCTTGCGCTCGTCGCCGCCGCCGCTCACTGCGCAAGCTCTGCTGTGTGAACGGCACAGGGACTCACGGTTCTGGAGTTGGGAGGTGCCTCCGCCCTCCTGGCTGGCCGGCGCTGGCGATCTGCAGCTGTGAGGTGCCCCCCAGCCTTGATTTCTTGGATCAGATGGCACGTACAGCCAAGCCGCCCGGCGCCCAAGGCCATGCCCTTCCCCAGCCGACAGCTGACTGCACACGCCCCGACCCCTGCTGCCCCGCCCAGCCCACACCCGCCGCCTTCCCGTCCCAGTCAGCAGCGTCGGCTGAAAGCCTGGCTTGCGGTGCCACCGCAATGGCTCCGCAGGACATGGACAAACGCTTTACAGCGGCGGCCATAAACGATGCGCTCAACGGATTTCAAACTACACAAACCTGCAACCCCCCCTTGCCAATTCTGGCGCAAGTGCTGATGTGCCAATTGGGCACGTCGTCGTGCCATGGTACCCCTGGATGGCAATGGGCCCGATGCGCGCGCCGGCCGCACGCTGCGAACCCTCAAGAACCCGTGTCACTGCAGGGGCAGCACCCGGCGTCGGGTGCCGGGGCCGCGGCCCTGCGGGACAGGGGCACACGATGATGCAGGGGATCCCGCCCGCCTGCACGAGCTTGAGGGCAGCTAGGGGTGTGGCGCGGGCGCGGCGCGCGGCGGAGCCCTGGCCTATACATGTGGCGTTGATGTGCAATGGAGCGGCTGAATTAGTACACCTCCACGTGCCACTGGTTCTCTGCGGAACGACGAGGGTGGCGGCGGTGGTCGTGGAATTGAGCGGCAGGGATCCGCGTCCAGAGCACGAAAGGCCCCACATAATTCCACCCTGCTCGGGCGCAGCCAGCGACAAAGCGCCCGTTTGCCCGTTTGTGGCGAAGACAAGAACAGCCAGGGAGCGCCCTCCGGCCTCGCATATTCAGCATGCGTGCCAGCGCTGCGCTTTGCACCCCGCGCCCTAGAGCCCGCACGCCCTGCACAGTCCAGACAAATCCGCTGCGCCACAGTCCGAGGAAGCAAAAAAAGCTGTCCTGGCACGCGATGCAGCAGCCCACCCGGGCCGCTCAGGCCGCGCTCACTGTGCTTGAGCTTCTCTGCGAATTCCTCAAAGTTCAGGCCCTTTGCCTTTGACACGCGCTCCAGCATGGATGTGATGCCGGGCATCATGCCCTTGAGGCCGCAGAAGTAGATGTGGGCGCCCTCGTCCAGGAGCTTGAAGATCTGGGGTATGGGGTTTTGGGGTTTTGAGGGTGGGTGGCGTGGGTCAGGGGGTGCGGGTGCGAAGATCGAGGGGGCGGGGTATGAGCTTGAGGGAGGATGAGCGAACGTGGCGTTGTGATGGTGGGGATGAGAGTCGGGTCGGGGATGAAGGACGAGTGGGTGGTGACAGTGCAGGGGGCAAGGTTCGAGGACGGCCAGCAGCTCGGCCTGTCGGCTGCACGTGCTTCGCTTCACGGGGCGCACGCGCGGCGGTTCTGGCCCCTGGGCGCGAGCCCTCGGCGGCTGAGCGGGGCGCACGGGGCCGTGCTGTCAAAGGCTTCGACTGGATCGACGGCAGTCCGCTGGAACCGCCGAAATCGGTACGTCGACCGGCACCAGACGAGTTATCACCGCGCTGTTGAAACCTGCACACTCCCTCCTCCCAGCCAACAAAACGACACCCAGCCGGTCCGCTCATCCGGCAACAACTGGCAACACTCATCGCGCTCGCTGCGGCCCCCCTCACCTCCCTTGTTGCTGCTGCCCCCCCATTCACAGGATCTCTGAACAGACAACACACAGCATCCAAACACTGCAGCGGCAACACATTTTAATAAAAGAACCCCTGAACAAAAACCAAAAAACGCCGCTCACGATGTCTGCGTACTCCTCGACCTTGTCCTGGATGTACATCTTGCCGCCGCTCTTGTTCTTCTGCTCGCGCGACAGAGCGTAGTCCACGCGGAAGTTGTCCGGGTAGGTCGCCTTGATGGCCTGGGGAGGGGGCGGCCCGGTGGGCATAATGAATTGTTTTGAGGGGGGGAAGAGTTGATGAGTAGTCTGGGGTGAAGGGGGGGTCCAGGGTGAGAGCCCTCTCAGGGGGCAGCAGAACGTGTCGCGGGAGGACATGCGTAGGTATAAGAAGCGTCATTCGTGCAGTGTGGCGAGGCACGCCGTTGGCCCAGCTGCAGCTGGGTCCCCAGGCAGATCGTCCCGCCAGATCACGCAACCTCGGACTGGCCGAAGAAGCGAAAACCCCTCACCTGGATCTCGTCCTCGTAGAGCAGGCTGTCGCTGTTGGCGACGCCCATGAAGAGCCAGAAGAGGCCGTCGAACTTCCAGCCGGGGACGTCCTCGTAGAAGCAGCGGCGCCAGAAGGACCGGAAGGGGGCGATGCCGGTGCCCGTGGCCACGCAGATAAGCACGGACTTGGGGCTCTGGGGGTGCAGGGTTTGGGTATAATCGGAGAGAGAAGGTGTGGGTGAAGGGGTTTTAGAGGAACACGGATCAGCACTGACTTGGGGCTCTGGGGGTGGAGGGTCGGGTGGAGTTCGAGGGAGGACGTGTGGGCGGGTGGGTGACTGGGTTTGGATGGGCGCAGGTCGGCGCGGGCTTGGGTCTCTGGGGCGGAGGGCGCGAGGTGAGGGGGGCCGCCGGGCCCTTTGGGTGCCGGGCAGCTGCGGCGCACGGGCTGATAGGGGGGCCCCGGTGTGTTCGCGAAGCGCGTGCTGTTGACGCCGCTGGCATGGGGCGCTGGTCACCCTGCGCCCCTGGCGGCGGGTGATACTTCACCGGCCCCCTGCCCCCATGCCCCTGACATCCTTGAGAC